TGAACTGAACTGGAATCCAGTTGCAGAGAAGGATGACTGATGAGCAAAGGGGTCCAGACCAGGCTGGTGAATCCCTCAGAAACAGTTGAGCTGAGAAAGGAGGAGCTCTAGCTCCCCAGAATGATAGCTGGGATACCAGCATAGGGTGATCCAGACCCCAGGAAGGTGGGGTACCTCAGAAAACCATGGGCCTCCTGTAGTAGATCAGTACTCATCCCTAGCATAGGTGTGGACTTTAGGAGCCCATACCACGTAGAGGGATACCCCCTGAGCCAAGACACACTGGGGTGGGACTAGGCCCTATCCCAAAGGATATGAGATACTCTTATGACCCCCTATGGAAGGCTTCACCCTCCCTGGGGAGCAGAAAGGATATGTGATAGGTAGTGTTTTAGTTTTGGGGGGGCGTGGTCGAGGAGGAGGGGAGGGAGAGGGAACTGGGATAGACATGTAAAACAATCTTGTTTCAAATCAAACAAAAAAGAAAAAAACCCCTCAGTGTCATTAATAACATTCCATCTGTGGCTCTCCTCACTATACAGCTATTGTGAAGACCTTCTCACCCTCCCTGGGGAGCAGAAAGGATATGTGATAGGTAGTGTTTTAGTTTTGGGGGGGCGTGGTCGAATGTCAGTTTCTCAAAAGTTCTAGGACAGATCATTTCTAGGACAATACTGATGAATTCCTTTTGGACAACCCTCCTGTGAAGATGGGCAGTGGGTTCTTTCTTATTCTACATCAGCCCTCTCCCAACCCCTGATACAGGTCTCCACTTAGCTCACACTCTGACAAAAGAAAGCTCAGCTCAATGAGTAACTTTCCGTCTGTGGATCTCTCAGTACACAGCTATTGGAAGGACCTATAGGACATGAAATAATTGCTTCAGGGTTAGAACTTCTCACTTTTGACCATCAGCTGCGGAGTGTTACTAGACATTGACCACACCTGTGGTTTTATTCTTGCAGGAAGTGAAAATCTCGGAACATGCTGTGTCTCAGGTGTTGGTGTTAGTTCAGGGTGTGAGAACACTCATGATGTGTTCTCCTTTCCTGGACAGAATGAAGCTTACAAGACTGTACTGTGACCAACACTGGAAGGCCATGGTCCCACCCAGGTCACCAATTGGCTGGACAAGGCTGACAGCCATAGATTACTGTAGGGTTCTGGAAGGAGACAGCATCAGACAGGGCTGGACTGTGATGGTGCCTGCTGAGAACAGGACCCTTTCTCTCCTAGGGGAAAGGTTGGTGATGGGACCATTGAGTGTCCTTTACTTTGTTATCATGAGCTACAGGTGTCACTGCTCTCTGAGGAGACAGTCCTTCTATGATGGAAACACTGATATAGACCTGTGCAATAATCTCTCATGGAAAGAGTTGTTTACCTTGTCTTCCCCCCAAACATTGAATTTCCTGTTCTAAGGAGTGTATGAGTATGACCCGCAGAGTGTCCAGAATCCAGAGATTCATGCACTCAGCACGGAGTGTCGGAGTGTGTAGCTCAGGTCACACGATTGGCTTGCAGGATTGTCAGTCTTGAAATCAGAGCCCGTGTCCTAGGACTTTCTCCAATTGCAGTCTCTACCTCAGTTTTCCTCAGAACCACCCTTTTATACAACTGCCATATGAGGTTGTCACTGACACTTATAGTATATCCTCACAGTTCAAATCCAGATAAAGGGTTGGATTGTTGTCTCAGTGGTTAAAAGCTATGGCTGCTCTTCCAGAGGATAGTGTTTTTTTTTTTCTATACCCACTTTATGTATCATCCATAACAACAATTCCAGTAGATCAGATGCCTAAGTCTGATGTCTACAGATACCAGGATAGACATTCATTGAGGTAAAACACCAATATACATAATACAAAATAAATTCATGTTTAAAAAAATTCTGCTCAACCATTATGAGTTTAATGATAAATCTTGCACTTGGGAAATCTCTAGGGATTCACAATGATGACCCCAATGAATAATCTAAGCAATAGTAGAGAGGCTACCTTGAATGCCCTTCCCCTGTAATGAGATTGATGACTGCATTGAATGCCAACATAGAGTCTTCATGTAGTAGCTAATGGAAGCAGAAAAAGAGATTCACAACTAAGCACTGAGCTGAACTCCTGGAATCCAGTTATAGAGCATGAGGAGTGATGAGCAAAGGTGTTAAATCATGCTGGTGAAATAGCTGACCTGAGCAAATGGAAGCTCAGGGACCCCAGTCTTACAGGTGGGGAACCAGCATGAATGTGGGTGTAGTTGGGGGAACCTGGGCAGTGTTTGTGGCCTCTGGCAGTGAAACCATTGTTTATGCCTAGTGCATGATGGGATTTGGAAGCCCATTCCCTATGGAGAGACACTACAAGCCTCAAGATCATGCAGTAGTTATACAACCATGGTATAAAGAGGTAACTCAGAGGAATTAAGGTTTCTCCTGATAGATGAAACAAAAGCTATACTTGGCATTATAATCTCATGAATGAACTGGCTGTTTCTTGCTGTAGATTCTTCCTGTACCTTATTCCTTTCTGTAACAAATTTGGGATTTTCTTCCCACAGTTTAGCAGTATCTGGTATTTATTTGGAACTAATTTCTCCCATGCATTTGGAGTTTTACTGATTACACTCCCTAGCTATGTGTAAAACCATGACTGTTGGGCAACAGGAAACATTTAAGAAGTCACAGCAGCATGTCACATCACATTGCTTCTAAGTTGTAACATGTTTCCCAAGTTCCAGTTGTCTGTCACAGAGCAAATTATCCTTCCAATAGTGGGCCCTTAGTTCCCTTTGGAAAGCAAGACAAATAACTTTGCTAGAAAGCAAGGAAACAGAAGATGTAATTTTCCCTTAGTATATTGTTAAAATTATATAAACTCAGCAAATACACAGTGCTTTTCTCTG